GCAACGATAAACACTGGTTTTGTAACCGCTGAATGGATCTGAAATGCAGATTTCCTTGTAGCATAGTTTCCTTCTGTAGATAATTTTTCTAACGCTTTCACAAGCTCTGGGAAATTTTGAGAAAATTTTCGTATTGATTTATATTTCTCCGACCACCTCGTCTCACACATTCGTGATAGATTAGGTGCGCAATTCCTACGAACAGTCGATTCTCTGAAAAAGTTTATTGTGTCCTTTATAGTAGCAATAGTATTCCTAATTTCCGGTACCTCGTTTGAATCGTTCACTACAAGATTTAGCTTGTGACTTGAGCAATGAAAATATAATGCTCTAGAATATTTCTTTCTCAAAATCGCTTGTACACCGCCCTCTTTGCCTGCCATTGTAGAGCAGCCATCGAAACCCAATCCTACACAATATTCTGGTGATAGATTATAGCTAATCAAAAAATTGTCAATTGCTTTAGCACATCCTTTCGTTGTCAACCTCGAAAGATGTCGAACAGCACTTTATCAAGACTCCTTCATCCATAGAACGGCTAGGCTCTGGAATTCATTGCCTGTGGAAGTATTCCCAGCAACATATAATCTCCAAAAGTTCAAAAAAAATATCAATACCTACCTCCTGTCCCTATCCTCCCTAGGAACGCACGATGTTCTCTGAACATTATAGGGATTCCCTTTCGTGCGCTTCAATCGATAAAAAAAAATTGATGAGGCATCTTGTGCCTTTAGTTCCACGTTCCACAAAATCTACATATTCTTCTCGGATTATCCCCTTGCATTCATCGTAGAACCGCAAGCCAATTGATAGCTGTTCTTTCCCAGCTATGTCTGCTGTTTCATCAGCTAAGACCGCGTAAGCCAGCGATTTTTTTACATCACTTATTATACTCTCCCTTATAACTTCGCCACATAAAGAAATCAATTCATTCTGTATTTTCGGAGACGTATAAACTGCATTACGGCTACACTTGTCAAGATGAGTCTTCAGTTCTTTATCGCCAGAATCAATTCGTAACTTCATTAAATCTAAAAAATCTCCTCCATCTGCTTCTTTTCCTCTAAGAGGCATATCATGTGTGCCGCAAAATACTATACAAGAAAGAATTGATGACAATATTTGCCTGTTTTCTTCGATTGCTTTTTGGTGGCCACTTCGCAGTTGAACATCCACAGGTATGTTTTCGAGAAAAGCATTCGCAGCAGCTGTTGCAGATAGGTGAAGGTTGGTGGTGACATGATTTCGGCAGTATTCGTGCATATTCTTGAATTTTGTAAATGACCTGATCACAAATGATACATTGGACATTGGACATGCTCCCTGAATGCGACGATGTCCGATCATCTTCTTTTTCTTACTTTCATATTTTAATTATTATTCATTATCATGTAATTTATACTTGTATTTATTATGATTATTGTTAGTGTCATTCATAATCGAAACAAGTGTTCATGCACTTATCGATTTTTTAACTTTATTTTCAGTGTATGTACTTTTTTATGCCATTTTCATAGATCTGAATAAAGTTTATTATTATTATTATTATTATCTTCGGATCAATCACAGCTGCCTTTCGCGCGACTTAAGTTTTTTAGAAAACGAATATCGTTTTTAAAAAACAAGAATCACTTTTATTTAGCACTACCGATTCGTATGAACCTCACAATCAGAATAAATTGGTTGAATAACTTGAAAGTGTGAGAAACATCGTAATGCATATCGAGTGAATTTTGTCGAGTCGGGTAAACTGCACCGTCTGCATCTTCGAATTGCGAGCGGCTGGTTCAAAGACATAACTCCTCCATCCTTAAGAGGGAGTTTTGGATGGTGGAGGGGGTTGGTTGCTTCTTGTAGATGTCCTCCTGGTTTTCTGGAATATACGTATCCCCAAGTATAGCAGTATTGAAGTAACTACTACGTACAGTGGAATGGCCATGAGTAGTGATTTGGTGGTCCTTGATTATCAATTCGGAGGTGTTGAATGTTGTTTCCCTTAAGTTGTAGCTCATAAAGTTGGTCTAGTTGAATGACGTCCACATGTAGTTGGTTATTCTCTAATAGTTCCTGGATCTTGATTTCTGGTAGGAGTAGTGGTTTTTCGTGGGTTCCCCTTTTTCGTTGGTACACCCATATCCTAATAATAAGACACCAGCAACAAAATCTCATGTGGACGCTGTCGCCCTGCAAATACCAATGGGAAGATCACACGCTCATTGTCAACCCTTCAAAGAAAGTTGGTTGATTTTAACCTACTGTTCGTTTGTCTCTTAACTATGACAGTGAACGAGCTGTAATAATATATAAGTTATTCAACATAATATAGTTTAAATACTATCTTTAGAGTGATTTGAAATAGTTGCAGGTTGAGTATACCTTCCTTTTCGTTTGATTACCAACTTTAACAGTGAGGAAGCTGTAATGATATTTTAGTTACAATATAATATAGTTGAAATACTATCTTTAGTTTGATTTGAAATACTTATATGTTGATTAAAACTTCCTATTCGTTTGTCTACCAAATATAACAGTGAGCGAGCTATTATGATATTACAGTTACAGTTATAATGTTGTTGAAATTCTATTCCTAGTTCGATTTGACTAATTTTTACAAATTATTGGTTGCACCAAAAAAATATTATCTTAATCAACTAATATTTTTGGTTGACGTTGAATTTGTTCATGTACAATTTTTCCTCAATTGTTTTGACGATCACCTTATCATTGAATGTACCATCATTGTAGTTTTATTCAACAATTATGATGATGTTTTTGATTGAACACATTTTTTTTGTCAATTCAACCCATACTATTTCTTTGAGAGTAGTAGATGTATATTGCTATGGCCCATTTGAAATGTCCATCTTAGTGGGTAACTGATCTCTGGTAGGTACATTGATTTTCCTCAAGCCAGCACTGTTCAAAATAAACCTAATTCTGTATTGCATTAGCATTTTAGTGTCAGTATATATAATGTGATTTATGGAAAAAATAAATTGGCTTTAGGTAGCTTCCTTTGTAGAGATATACGTATAAGATCTGTGCTACCCAAGTACCTAATCAGTACTATAAAACAAATAACGATTTCCTTTCTGAACTCGAATGATCTCATACACTACCTCATATTCCAAGCTTACTCAATCGAAACTTTAAATAAAACATATGCCATTATATACCCAATGAACAAATTTAATGTGACATAAGTGTCAAATTGATTTTCATTCCATTCAAATCTGTCAATTGTAACCTTAGGTATGGTGCGCGCATTCGGCCATCATTACGTATTGAAAATTTCAGAAAAATCACTCGACCGCCTACTATGATTTCTCTACGTCCACTATTGCTGCTGTGACGAGTGAAAATAAAATGGCAAATGGCATTTTAGGTACGCGGAACATTTGTACCAGTGGGATTATTCAACTCTGAATTCGAAAATTCTGCGACAATTTCAAAACTGACAGATATCATAATTGTGCAATGTCGCCATCTATTAGAAGATCGACGGAACCATTGCTCTCACTGTTCTCGAGAGGTCGAGTAAAATTTCTGAAACAAAAGCGCATCAGTGATTACACCATATCTTACTTCCATCATTGTTGGAACAAATAATTTCGTAGATTATGAGTTCTCTCTGTGGATGTGTTAACTACAAGATCACCCTATACGATTATATTAATCAACGTTGTCACGATTGAGAGTCTGTAACATCATCTCTTTATTGTTTTACCGTGTATGGTGTATTGGTATGATTATTGTTATTAAATCATTGCCACAATCCAGAACTTGCTTTCTCTCAAGAACCCTGCTCAACATGATTTGGATCAAGACTCAAGAGAGATAGACCGCTTGAAGCACAGTTTTAAGGACGACTGTCTCAAATATACGCGTTCGTGGATAAAATCATCTATATATAAATATATATTTTATGGAAGGGAAGTCATTGCTGACCAGTAGGAATGAAACCAGTGTATATTGGGGGTAGCAGCAGTGTAAATGGAATACTCTTTAAAGTTTATCCAAGCTTTCGGAAATGTTTATCTCCATCATCAGGAATACTACAATGATTAAGGAGTGTAAATACATTGGAAACACTATGGCCATGCCTTGTACTTACATCTTTGGTGAGGTTGGTCACAACGTTGTTAAAAATATAAAATTTACAATTTTATACATATTTGGTGAATCTGCATATTTCAATGAATTCCACATCCGCTTTAAAAAAGGCATCGCCTCTGAGATTACCTTGGTCGCGCCAGGTCATTTCACTACGAGAAAGTGAAGTGCTTCTGCAGATTTTTGTGAAAATGACTAATAATGGGATCCAAATTATTCTCTTAAGCGGGTGTGCTTTGGTCTTATGGCATTAGCGGTCTATATAATAGGTTATGCCTGTGACTAAATTACTTATTTCCCACTCCTCTTTACCCATTGCAAGATCCCCAATGTCGCGGTTTGAGTTTTTCTAATGGATACAACATCTTCGGTTCAGTGCGTTCGTAAGGTATCAGAAGTGTTTTGCATGAATTCACGAGACTAGTCGATTTTTATTAAAATTTTCTGTACTTCCGCATGATAATTCAGTATACATACACATTGGACAGAGGGGTGAACCATTCACATGTGATAACGCGATAGTTCTATTGGTTGGAACACTCCAAAATCCACATTTTTTCAATTTATATGCATCCCTTGCTGAGCTGATTCCACAAGCTTCAAATTAATACTAAACGAACTAAAAATCATGTTAGATTTGTGAAGTAACGAATAAAACCATTCATAGTTGTCGTTTTCAGACCTCATTCACGAAAATGTGTTATCCAATGAATCTCTGAAATAACCTGTAAACCTTCAAAACCCTTGTATATCTGGGTCATCCTGCATGCAAAAAGAGGAATATGAAACACCTGAATTGAATAACGTATATTTATAAAACGTATATTTATTATAAACCTACTTTCATTAAGCTATATTTTACTATATTTGTATAATATTTGTTTCAGGAATGGCAGGGATATTACTCAATTTGTGGTACTTGTATCAAGGATTTGAAAGCTTGTTGTGTATTCAAAGAGCTTTGTTTGAGTTTGTTGAATGCAAAATCTGAAACAAAAACTTTACATTTCAAAGAAGATTATGATAGTGATGTACCTATGGTATCTGAACCTGTTGAAGAAGATGAAAAAGATGTTTTCATATGTTATCACTGCGACAAAAGTTTCGATGATATAGATCTTCTGACAGAACATATTGGAAAGGAGCATAATCATAGTTCCCTGAGAGTATCTGAGTACAAAAGTAGCAGAAAATGTTTACATTGTAGCAAAACATTTACGAATGATTCTTCTCTTGAAGAGCACACCATTCAGTGTGATGTTGTAAGAAGACATACACAAATTGGTAAAAAGGAACATGAATGTGATAAATGCAAACAGAATTATTCGTCAAAAGACAAATTAAGACAACATGAGAAACGTTGTACTGTAGAATTTATTGATTCTAGATTTCGGTGTATGAATTGTAAAACATCATACAAACATTTGAAAGCCCTACTGAAGCATAAAAAGCTGTGTTTCCAAAAGGAAATTGAAAATACCTTGATCTTTTGCGAAGATTGTGATGAATATTTCAAGTCTCATGAAGATCTCAGCATACATGTCAAGAAAGAGCACCAAGAGCGCATTATTCATTGTGACTCTTGTGATGAATCCTTCATTTCCAATGAGGAATATATTAGTCACAGAAGATTGAAGCACAAGGAAACTAAGAGCAAGGAAAGGAGTTATATTTGTGACATATGCAATGAACAGTTTAGATTCGTGAAAGATATTATCAAACACTATAGTAGTGTTCACTCCATAGAAGAAAAGCTAGTAAAACCACATAGTTGCAATATTTGCAGCAAACGATTCAGAGCTTCCACAAATCTCAATAACCACAAACGATATCATGAAAAAACTAGAATGAATATATGTAGTATGTGTGGCAATAGTTTCAAAACTAAAGGAGATCTTATAAGACACGAGACGCTCCACTTGAATGAGAGAAATCATAAATGTGATAAATGCGGAAAAGCATTTAAAACGATGGATAATTTACGTTTTCATTGTCTGATAGTCCATACCGATCAATCAACTTGGAAATTTGTTTGTCATGAATGTGGAAAAAGATTTCCTCAGAAATCTGGCTATGAGCAGCATCGAAAAAGACATCTTGGAGAGAAATCATTTCTTTGTACACGTTGTGACAAAGCTTTCATTACTAATAATGAATTGCAAAAGCACATGTTTCATCACTCTAATAATATGAAATATACGTGTGATCAATGTGGTAAAGAAATCAAACACAAGAAAAGTCTTGAAATACATTTAGCCAGAACACATGGTATAGGAGATGCAAAAATACCTGTCAGAGATAGGAAACATGCTTGTGATTTTTGCTATGCGAAATTCTATGATAAATCGAAATTAACCAGACACATTCGCATACACACTGGTGTCAGACCATTTTCATGTTTTGCTTGTAACAAAAAATTCAACGATAACTCTTATTTGAAGCAACATTTGAAGAATTTTCATCAAATCATTGAGGATGCTGATGGACTGAATGATCATACATGATTTTTTATATTAGTCTGAAGAAATCAGAATTATCTCCATTTTAATTCTTAATAGCCAACAATTGCGAATGACGATAAAAAACCATCTATAATAAATAACATATAATCAATCAAAATAGATGTTTTATTCCACCAAACAATATTGTAATCGAGATGAAAATACTTGACACAAACAAAGATACACGCGGGATACCTACTGTTTTTTTTATATTCATCTTAAAATTCTCAACCCAACTTTGATCCTAATAAGATACTATATTCGATCAGATTGTAGGTATAATGGTATTAGATACAACCACGCTTCCTCTCTTAATATCAATGAGAAGTAAGAATTTTCTGGTTAGATATTTGATATCGTATAAACATGAAAAAAATGGAAGTAGTGTACCTAAGTATGTCTCAACACAAGATGGCCGCCGCCGGAAGTGACGTCACTTCCTGGGGGGTAAAAGGTGTTGGCTGCATGGAGCATGAAACACAAGAAGTGACAGATGACATGGAACATGAAACAGGAGAGATAAGTTACACGGAGCATGGAACACAAGGAGTAACAGATGACATGTGATTATCTCGCTTTGAACTCGTTTTATATGATCACTACGATCGTAACTTGGTTATGACACGGAGCATAGAACACAAGAATGAACAGATGACATGTTGTTATGTTTATATTAATTGTTATGTTTATATTCCTTACATTACAATTCCTCCCTTTTAAGAATGTTCATAATATTTACTATAAAATGTAACTAACAACTAGTTAATCTAAGTCCAAATGAAAATCATCAAGATATGTCGGCTTTTTTATACATCGTCCATATTTTGTAACTTTTGGCTCAACATGATTGCTACAAGTACTTTCAGTATCTTGACTTTGGTCATTATACGATCAAACGAACTTACCTGTGAAGTTCGATCGTAATTATACTAAGCGCCTCGCCCGAAAAGATCACTTTATTACTATGTAGTACCGCTTTTAGGTGCTATGCTGGTCACACGTTTTAAGCACTGACACTTTTGTTCTTTGTGTCTATGGTTCTGTGCCTGCTCTATAGTTATATGTTCTATGTTAAGCTACCTCATTACCTTTTAAAGTTTACAGGCGTGCAACATTTATTTTGGGTGGGAATTTTTAACTCTTATCCCAGAGAGGGAGTGATCTTTTCGGGCGAGGCGCTTAGTATAATTACGATCGAACTTCACAGGTATAAGTTCGTTTGATCGTATAATTATACAACAGCGCCTCGCCCTCAAGATCACTTTATTACTATGTAGATGTTTAAAGCCGTAAAATGTTGCTACCTGTCTCTCATTTTGATTATAACAATAGGACAATAGGGATTGTTATTATTAAACCTACCATTTTAAGACAAACATGCTTTATTTTTCTTTGATTATTTATTCAGTATGGCTTTCATAAACATATTGGGGTCATTACGAATTGGCCGATTGTAAAACTTTGCAAATGTGGAAGATGTTTTCGACCACCCTGCAGAATTCTTGATCGTATCCCATGATAGGTACTCCTTTCCTAGCAGCTGCTGACGTGGAAGCGTGACGGGTTGAGTAGGCCGAAAAAATATTAGTATTCACTCCTGCTTTCCCTAACATTTCCTTGATCCATCTTGCAATTGTGGCCCTGCTGGCTCGCTGATATGGTTCTTTGGCTGTGATGAACAGGTATCCATTTGCTTCTGATCTGTATTTTGCTGTTTTTTCTACATACCCCAATAAGGTTGATGCAGCACACAGGTGAGGTCTTGCGCCATAGAATGGCAACTCCATACATGGTTGTCCTGCTTGATTTGATTTCGTCAGAAATGTATATATGCGCTTCCTCGCTGTCAAATATTATATTTTCAACCCTAATAACATGGAGGGTTTGAATTCTTTGACCTGTAACCAGGGCCAGTAGCATAACAAGTGAGGTACGTAGTTTTTTTAAAGGTATCAGATTAGTATAGACATGATGTAGTTTTCATTAGGTATTAGATTAGTATAGAGGTCAGATAATTTATACGACGCTATAAAAGCAGACAATATTTTATCATTGCTCATGTAAGATGGAAGTAGAGGCCATGGCACCATATCATGAGCATATTTTTATATTGAAACTATCATTGGGCACCAAAGATGTGTATACGACGCTATGAAAGTTCAGAGAACTGGAGATTTTTCCCACAAACTACGTACTAGGCCCACTCGATTGTCTTGGTTTTTCCACACAAACTACGTACCTAGCCCACTCAACTGCCAATAAGGACTAATAAAACAAAGACAGTCGAGTGAGCTAGGTACCTAGTTTATTGGCGAAAAATAAAGACAGTCGAGTGAGCTAGGTACGTAGTTTTTAGGAGAAAAAAATCACGACAGTCGAGTGTGCTTTTTTTACTTTCTTTTGTTTTTTGTTTTGTTTTCTATTGGCAAGTGATTATCTATAGGAACTTGTAATTTTTTTAGTTTTTTCATCGTATCTCCCGACCTATTGAATTCAGAGAAAAATGTTACACGGATTTTTTGTAGATTCTATCAAAAGGAATAATATTGGTTCTATAACATTTTCAGATATTTTCAGTTGTTTTCGAGATATTTGGAATTATCTGAGAATAAAATTTTCAACACTTTTGTTCCATCTTCCAATCAACAAAAGGAAACAATATTTCATGGTTCAGTGGGAGTCGATGAGCTTCATCTATCGATAATATTTGTTTTTCAATATATCTTCATGGTACCCTATGGGTCGTTCAAATTTTTTTTCCATATTTTTTACTTTATTTCCTGTACTATTGGGTTTACAGAAAAAATTATGGGTAATAATTTGTAGTAAATGTTCCAGTGGATAACTTTGCACTTCTGATAATTTTCGATTTTTCCATTTGTTTTCGATATATATTGAATTGAAAGGATTTCAAAATTTGATGTTTTGATTTTCATATGTTTTTCCATTTTCCGATGGATGCACGGAAAAATGGTGGAATAATAATTTGTTGCGTCATCAAAGGGGCATACGGTGCATTTTTCAAATTTGGATTTAGTCTATTGGTTCAGGAGATATGTCGTTTTAAAGCGAACCGTGTGTTTTGGAAAATCTCCTTGAAAAACCCACTTGGAATTTTCCGACCCTGCTCAATTTCAATAGGCTTCGTCTCTCCCTGATAGAGTTATTTTTCACAAAAAATGAAATCGATCAGACCACTTTTGCGATTTGTAGAGTCGTGGTCACAAGAAACTTCCGGTGAAAAATCGAAAAAACCCGGAAAAACCACCTTAGAGTTCTCCGATTTCCTTCATATTTCAATGACATAATATTGTTTTGAGTACAATAAGATGGCAAAATTTCAAGTCGATATATGTCAATGGGTTCCGGAGATATATCGATTTATGATTACCACAGAGTACAGACAGACAGACCACACACAAAAACCAAAGTTGCTCAAAATTCGATGGGGATCATTTTCTCTAAAGTAACTATACCTCTATCTCGCTTAGTTTCCGAGATAGCATTTTTGGCAAGGCCGTATATAGTATACTCCACTATACATATAGGTATAGCGTCGTATAACAAGTTTCTTACTAAGGATCAGAAGAGATAGTTCGTCATCTGGTCCTAATGAGTCAATGTAGTCAATGACTATATCTGGGTTCCATGTTATATTGTATTTGGGTCTTGGTGGCCTCAATCTGAAGACACCTTTCAGGAAACGTCTTATTAATAAATCTTTCCCAATTTCTCCAGGGACAATTAGAGATAATGCAGACCTATATGCTGATTGAAGGTCCCATATTTTGAGTTTTTCTTCTGAAGTTCATCCTGCAGGAAAGCTAGTATGGCTGAAACATCTCCAGAATACGGATCCAAGCCCCCTCTCTTGCAGAAATTCCACCAGGCCTGATATGATGTATTGTATTGTTTCAGAGATGATTCAGTAATAGAGTTTAGTGTTGTGTTGATGGTGGCTTCTGGAAATCCTTTTTTGAGAAGGGCTTGCCAGACAACCTGCTTGCTACCAGGAAAAGGCTGGAGTGAAGAGGATGGTTCTTCCTAAAAGGTGAAGAAAGTAAATGAATATTAGGTCCAAGTATAAATGATGGAGATGCCATTAACTTCTCGTACAGAGGGTACCATGGCTGGGATGGCCAATTTGGTACCACAACAATACCTTCTCCCTCATCAGTTACTATTTTTTGTAATGTTCTCAATATAAGTGAAAATGGGGGAAAAGCATAGAAAAAATGTCATTCCAGGTTACTGTGAATGCATCGACTGCTATTGAACCAGGGTCTCTTAGCCACGAAATGTAATAGTTGCATTTTGCATTAATGTTGGAAGCAAACAAGTCGACCTCTGGGGTACCTAATACATCAGTCACTTCCTTGAAGGCATAATCTGCCAATTCCCATTCTGTTTCCAAGGATTGTACACGAGAAGCTTTGTCAGCTTTATTGTGATCAGACTGAACATATAATGCAGAAACCCACAAGTTCCTGTGTTCACAAAATTGCCAAATCTGTTTAGCCAGTTCATGCAAATGTTGATGTTTAATGCTGCTCATTCTATTTAGATAAGACAATGCAGTTGTATTGTCAACTCTCAATAGGATATTACAAGATTTCAAGTCTGCAGCAAAACATTGCAATGCATAGAAGGCACTCATAAGCTCAAGGTAGTTGATATGTTCAATCGAATCCGATTCAGACCACCATTCGTGGGTACTGTGTCCATGGCAATACACCCCCCAGCCAGTTTTGGAAGCATCTGAAAAAATCTCAATCGAAAACATATCCTGTCTTATGTCATTTCTAGCATCTAATATATTTTTTGACCACCAATCCAGATCCTCTTTAAGTGAACTTGGAATAATCATGGTATACGATTATAACACTGTTTTTCTTTTTTCAATGCTAAATACTTGGTCCTTTCAAAAGATTTAGTATAGAGTTTTGCATATTTCACTGCAGGTATAGCCGAAACTAGTAACCCAACAAACCGAGCAAACTGTCGGATTTTTATTTTTGACTTTTTCCTAATACAATTGACTGAATCAAGAATTTTTTGCCTTTTTTCTTTAGTTAGTTCTATCGTCATTTGTGTGGTATCAAATATGAAACCCGAAAATTTACATTGCTGTGCAGGTACCAATACACTTTTTTCATCATTTA